GTGCCAACCCATACTTTACTATATCATCAAATGCACTTTGTTTTCCTAGGATCCCTAAAAGTTGTACTCCTAGCCAAAACAAAATCCAGTGTGAAGGTGATCCGACTATGGTCCGAAAATGAACAATCCGTTACAACCCTCAATCCCTAACGAGATCATCTAAACGGTTAATTAAAGTTAGATCTATAACTGCCTCCCTATATTTGTTCCTGGACGTCGGCGTATCACCCTTGTTACAGATGATGAGATTATTATTAGTTTTAAAGCCAAATAGTAACTCACCTCTTTTGTTGATGTCCTTGCTGCCCCATTGGCAATGATGATAATTGGCATCACAGCCCATCAGAAGGATCGCATTCTTTCCTCTCGCATATGCCGTCAGCTCACGCACCTCCGAGCCGGTTGGGTCAGTCGCCTCATAAGGCATATACACCGAAGCCAGTGCGAGCGTACGCTTACCTTTGGCTTCTCTGTTTATTACGGTTATATCACCGCTTCTAAAATAATGAGAAAACCTAATTCATTCTTTGCCAGGATACAAGTCCTTACCTTGTCCTCAGAAGACGGGACAAATAAGGTGTAGCCTTTGACCCTTAAACCAAGAACCTTATTGTAGTTAATACAAGCCTCCTGGATAAGGGCCACGTCCGTCTGCGAATCAATGAGTAAAGTTACCAAATCGGCTGAAGCTGCCTCACAATGATGCAGGTTTATCTGCACCACCACCAGCTTCTTTGGTCCCGTCATGTTTCGGGTACCGGAACCTGACAATGCCAAGACCAAATTTATCAACCCCACCCATCTCATCTAAGACTTCTAAGGACTTACGATTCACAGGGAATCGAAAGTCCTTGCCAGTATTCTCCTCATATACCAGTGAGTTCACATGTCTCCATTGGTCTGTTAGAAATCTAACATTCTGTTTGGCCAATATGGTTTACACCGTTCTAACGGGTGGTCACTATTGACCGTAGTGGCAGTTCGGATACCTGTATCACCTCAAGCTTTGCTGCTGGGTTAATGTCTCTACACTTGTCAAGTGTCGATTTTAAGAACTCCAAGGAGTTCTTGTTTCCACTATTGACAACTTTCACACCCTTAACACAGTCTGCACTGGGTTAAGGGCATTTTCCACAGAAGAAAAATTTTCTGTGTTGCTTTGTAAATCCTCCGGAATAATTTGCAAATTCTCTGGATTGATTTGTAAATCGCCTGGATTAATTTGAAAATCAGGATGATCTTCAATATTATTTTCAATTATAAAATTTTCATTTGGGTTATATACTTCTTCTGAATCATAAAAGTTGTCAGTACCTGACACAGGAATAAGGTGAATTCTATTTCGCGTATATTTCATACTATCTGCCTGAATTAGATATGATCTTGGTTCATCCAATTTTCGTAAAACTTTACCGTATTTTGGCAAATCAATTATCCATACTCTATCCCCCGTTTTTAATTCCGATATATCTTTATCGTGTATCGTGTCTCCTATTATAATTCTCAATTTGTTTTTTCTTAATTTTTCTTTCCATTACCTTGTCATTATAACCTGGTTCTAATGTATTGGGCAATATCGGAACCAATGATTTGAACTTTCCAAACATCATCAATTCTGCGGGAGAAAATCCGTTCGCTAATGGGGTGGAACGATAATTGAGTAGACCGTCATGAATGTCGTCGTATTTTTTCAATAATTGTTTCGTTACTTTAACTGCCGATTCGGCAACTCCATTTTGTTGTCTATAATATGGGCTACTTGTTCAAACTGTTTAAATTTTGATTAGAATTAAGGGTACGGAACAGATTCCATACCTTGAAAAAATTATTTTCACGTTTCAATTATGTCCTCCTCGGACAAAGAGAAATTAAAAGTAACAAGAATAATCAGTTGTTATAGGATACCATATATACCACTTAAATAAATCCAAACCTATTTTTTCTATAGGTCGAGTTGGTAATCTCTCAGATTTGAATGTTTCCCTTGTGTTATTTCTTTCCTCTAGACATTTCGGAGAGTTCTTTACTAAGTCCTCTAACTGTGTGCTAAGACCTAGCCACCAAACTGACGTTTTCGTAATGTATAAAATTAAGAGCATACTTTTGCAAATCTGGGGGAATGATTATTCGAGAGTCTTTCAACAAAAAATTTTCCGAAAATGAGATATCATAACGATGTTAATAGTATGGTGTCATAAAATCTGGTAATTTATCTTGAGATGGCCAACCATCTACTGAATATTGTCGCAATAGTTGACATAGTCGGTCACCTCTCTGAGCTGCGATAATCTTCGCTAGATACTTTTCCCTAACTGAAAATAAGATGAACAAAAGCCTCAACCTCCATTTCTAATTCTTGAGGTTCATTAATTTTACAAGGTATTGGACCGCGAGACAGAGCATCGGTTATTTTGAGGTCCTTTCCCGGTACATATATAACTGAGTAGTCATAGCGCATAAGGCGCATTCTAAATCGCTGAAGTGTAGGGGTCAGGGTATTCAAAATTATAGATTGTAAAATCTGAACCAATTCCACCCGAATCCCAGTTATGTATTCTACAAGTTTTTTCGCAGCCCACGTTATACCTAGTGCCTTCCGCTCAATCTGAGCATAGTCTCTGTTCAGTCATGGTCCTGGATATATAAGATATTACATGTCTGATTCCCTAATTGTCTACTTGAAATAGCTTGAATAGCATTGTCTACTTGAAATACCATAGCACGATGCGTCTGAGCAAATTATTATTTTCTTCAAGGGGTCATAAAAGGCTAAAATTGGTACGTTTGTCAAACTGTTCTTAATTTTCTCTTGTATTTCGTTCCACACAAAATCAGTTTTCCCGTTAATACATTTATAGGCTCCAATATTTTTGAACGATTAGCGACAAACTTTGCTACAAAATTAACCATAACTAGAAACCGTTGGACCTCAGTCCTATTTCCCGGTCTAGGATAAATAATTATAGCCTGAATTCGTTCGGGTTCAACCAAAATTCCCTCTTCTGAGAAGACGTAACCTAAATAAGTAACATGGTTTACGCCAAAATATCATTTTTTTTATTTATAGTTATTCCTTCCCTGCTCAGAATGTCATCGACGTGCGAAATACAGTTGCCTATTCCATCAAGAACTTTATTAGATTTTGAAACAAAATATTCAGGGGCACATGAAATCCCAAATGGCAGTCTATTAAAAATAAAACATCAAAATGGACATATAAAACAAGTTAGCAATTGGCTTTCAGGAGTTAATTTTATTTGTAAAATCCATTATTAATTTTTGAAATATTTTTGCTTACTGACCCATTCATTTTCGTCATCCATGCGTCTGAATAACGCCTAAATTGACGACTGCCTTTCGTCCCAATATGGGGGTACCTAATCCACTGACTATATATATATCATCTAAAAAATCATCACTGACATTAGCGTTAAGCACGCTAACCACAATTCAATCTCGTATCAAATCATCTTCAAGGTTTCCATAATCGCAGTTCTCCACCTTAAAGTATACCAATAGGCTTAGAATCGTTTTCTGAGTCGATTAAGATATGTCCGTCCGTCCGTCTGGCTGGCTGACTGTTCATGTAAACCTTGTGCGCGAGGTACAGGCAATTTTCAAGATAATTGGATGAAATTGGGCACACACGATTTTTTGGCCTAAGGACGAAGCCTATTGAAAATGGTTAAATTCGGTCCATTATTTCACCTAGCTTTCTGAGCTCATAATTATGTTAAATATACCTGTATATTGCTAAAAAGCGACACAACTAAGTTTTATACAAGTCTTGATGACCTCGCCAAATGTCATAAAGATCGGGCCTCATATGACCCTAGCTCCCATACAAAGTCCCCTTCAGAAAATTACTTCAATGCCCAAAAGAACTGATAAACACAAATATCGCGATGAAATTCAGCACAAACAAATATTAAATAAATACATTCACAAAACTTTACCGGGTTTGGTCCATATTTTCCCCTAGCCCCTCCATATAAAGCCTCTTTCAGAAAATTAGTTCTTCATCCATAAATTGCTTAAATGTATCGGAACAAGGTAATATTGAAGATAAATGCTTTATTATAAAACATAAATCACATTTAATATTCATAACTGGTGTAGGGTATCATATGGTCGGTCACGCCCGACTATACTTTCTTACTTGTTTTTGGGTTGAAATAGTTGTCAAAAAGATTTAAGGCACTTGCCTTGTAGCAAAACTTCTTCACTTTTTTCACCCATTATCTAGAACAGCAAATCAATTTGTTCCTTTTAATTTTTGTCTCCTGCTGGGGCCATAATTGCTTTTGTACCTTGAGAAAAAAAAAACACTTTTTTAAGCAAAAATTCGGTTTTACCGCTGCAACCATGTGTAATTTGCCAAGAGGGCTAATCAATATATTAAAAGACACTTCTCACGTTTCTTAAGAATTAATCGCATCAATCAACATCACGTGTCGAGATTCAGGTTAAGAAGAATGTATAAAATGATATTTATCTTTAACTATTTATAATGACGTTTCTTGTTAAATTGCAACTAGATGTGTACTATTTACATAGGTGTTTTCTTATATTTTGCATCTTACACTACACATTTTTAGTAGTTTTTTATTCCCGGAATACCCTACCAAAATTCCATGGAATCGGGAAGTTAAAAATCACTACATTTACCGGAAACGAAACCCTAGTTGTACCCGAAGATATCTGGTGTCTTCAGAAAATATATTTAAATAAACAGACATAGCATAATCGATTCCTCCATCTACACTGTCCAAAAATTATCTTGTGGAAATAACAAACGGAATCACAAACTTATATGTATGTATTAATGTACTGAATGCGAGAAAAATAAAAAAAATATTTTTTTTCGAATGGTCCTCAGTTCCCTACCAGTGAATGAAAATGTTGACCTCTGTATAATTTGTGAAAAATAAAATGTCTTCGATTTTTTGAAATGGGCCTCAAATATTCAGTGATATTGAGCTGATTGCGAGAAAAAATAATTTTAAAATTTTTGTAGAGTATTTTTGTTCCACAAAATGATTTTTAGTGGGTATTGTATTTATCTAAATTCATATACTTGAATACATTTTTCTTCAACATGATTAAGGTCAATAGATTGATATAACTCTGAAGATCTATGGTAATAATATCCTTCTACTTTTCCAGTTGATTTGGTAAAACATATGTAATAAAAGCCAGCGAATGATGCACCATTAATATCTCGTATTGTATGATCAGGTACAAGAAAATGCTCCTTCCAACGCATAAAGACATAGTCGCTCTTCGCCAAAGTGCTATAATCAAAACTATCGGAGTTGAACGTTTCTTGGTATTCTTCAAATGCTTTAAATTTGCTCTGAAAAAATAATGTATTAAAAATTTGTTAAAATCAGTGTAAAGCAAACAAATAAGAAATAAAACTCTGTCACAAAGTAAGTCTACTCACAGGGTATACAGAGGCGTCACGAGCAAAAAACTATTTCCCTCTCTTTCGCACAAAACGAATTCAATAATTTTTTTAGCTGTATTTTATATACCTCTTCTCACCAAACAATTTCAAAATCAAACAAAAGCTGATTTTAGACTTTTTTAAATGTCAAAAGTGACACCTCTGTATACTTTGTGGTCTACTGTCAGTCGGTACCTAATACCCTGTTTACACGATGCAATTATTCGTCATTCACTCTCTCATTCTTTATTCAACCCCCAATTAATATACATGATTCGCCGTACAAAATTTCAGTTGTGAATTACACAAGCTGTAAGTAATTCAGTTTGAATAACCTACGAATTACGAATGAATGAGTGTCATCTCTAATTTTTATTATCATAATCTGCTGCTTATTTTCATTTGATGAAGACAAAAAATAAAATTACAATAAAATAGAAAATACAGCGGACGATTTGAAAAGGTGTGATGAATTTCGATCGAGGAATGGTTTATTATTTTCTTGCGAAATACTATACAGACAACAAAATACTTTCCATTTTTTTGTATCATACATATTTTTGTATCAAAAAAAATAACAAAACAATGAATGAGAAACACAACATGACGGCGAACTCTCAAAACGAATTACGAATGTGTCGTGGAAACGGGTAATTGACTATTGTAATTCAGAAGCCGAATTAGGTAATTCAACTCTTCGTGTGAACGCCCCCCGGGGGCATGTTACCTTGGCGAGACCTCCGCCTTGGTGTTATTGCAATCCCGGGGTATAAAGAGGTGGCCAATACCTCCAGTCTGACAGTCTACTGCCTGGCTTAGTCCTTGCATAGATTGCTAGAGGTCAGACCAGAGCACCGCATAATCTGGTACTACGGGTGGCCAGTTGCCCGCAGGACTATGTCCTGGCTGGTCAGTTGGTTGAGGTTCCTTCGGGATCCACGTAGTGGCTGTGGTTTAAACCCAAATTCGCGGGAAGAGTAAGTTGCGGTTAAAAGACTGATGCATGATAATAGTCAATATTTCGGGATAAGTTCGGTGCTGTTGCCGAAAACAACAGATACCCCACAGAGGAGTGACTGTGGGACTAAGCGTTGGAAATGGGTTGGAGTCAATTGTATATGATACGGGCCTCACCCACCCGTATATCTAAATGAGTGTGTCGTATGTTTTTCTCTTATGAGTGTGTCGAATAAATGAGATGTGTGCTGGGTTGAATGATGATGGATGAAAGGTATCATATACAAGTGATACCGATTAATTTTCCTTCCTTGTCCAGATATGTTCAGAGTATACTCTGTTCATATCAGAATTACCACAGCGTGTCACTGTGAGTAAGAACAATGTCTACGGCTTACTGATGGATCGTGCTTCGGTCCACCGGTTACGTCTCTAGGTGCTGTTGCCGAATCAACAGAGCCATAGTAGTGTGGTTGGGCGACATTATGTCGGGGTAGATTGAGCTTGCTCATGATACCTATCTTTCCCCAACGTGACTACTTTGGCAAGAGATTAGATAGCTCGAGTACTCCAGCAAAGTACTTGCGCATGGACCGGTCATAGCCAATGTGCAAAAATTGCCACCTGAGTTCTTCATTGAAGAAAAAGGGGCGATGGCAGACCGTTCTCAAGTCTACCCTGTGGGTGAAAAAGACCACCGTGAGATAAGGCCGACACGGCAGGTGCTCACGTTAAAACTCTCGACAGTATTCGTGTGAACCAACAAACATACCAACATAGTTGCAAAAAATCGTAGGGCACTGGCACACGTTCAATATATATTGATCAATATGAATCACGACCCATTTTAAGGGCACTGGCACACGTTCAATATATATTGATCAATATGAATCACGACCCATTTTAATAGTTTGATGAATACCTCGGCATGCTACACGTTCAATATTTATCGCGTCAGTATTTTCATTATTTCCTGCTACACGGGTCGTTCGATGATAACAAGAATGCCGCGAAAACTCCAAATTCATACAAATTTAGAAAAAATTTATTATCTTTTATATTTTTTATTAACATTTAAAAAAATATTTGACTTTGTTTTTTTTTATTTTATTTATTTTTCCGAATTTTACAAATATATCGTGATTGATATCACAAAACATGCCACACGTTCAATATTTATCACGTTATCCATTATAAATATTGATACAAATTTTGGATTTCAGAAAATTGGGGTTTTCTGTGATATGGAACACGATCCGTCAATATTACATGCTACACGTTCAATACATATCACAATACAGCAAATATCACGATATATATTGAACGTGTGACACTGCCCGTATTTAAAAATATTGAAAAAGATGTATTACATTCAATTTTATACTTTGAAAGGTTTCTTAAAATAGTTTGCACATATTTTAATTTTATTTATTTAAAAAAAAAAATCTAAAATGCTATTACCCTCGAATTTTCGCGAAAAAGTTTTGATGTTTTGAGAGAGATGTTAATGTTTTGAGAGAATACAAATTTTACAAAGTTGTTTTTGTACCAATGAGAAGAATAAGAAAACAAAACAAGATTCCGAGTACAAGAAACTCCGTACCGCGAGAGAGATAAATATTTCTTTCTCTCACACACAAAATCAAAAGTTTTTCTGTGTAAACCAGCACTAATGTGTTGGATTTACACAGAACTCGTCTGTGAGAAGAGGTAATGTTTTCGCGGTTTTAAATACATTAAAAGTGTCGCAAAAAATAATACACATTATGTTTAAGTGATAAGAAAAACTATAAAGTGAAAATATCCCCTGAATTTCGCGAAGAAAATTAAAAATTTTGTGAGTGCTTTTAGTTCTTTCAAGTGTGTTTAATTCTCTCAGAACTCGTCTGTGTGAAGAGAATAACAAAATTTGTTTGACAACTTCCAAGCGGTAAAAATACACATTATGTACTCGCTTATCTAAGTGATATTTCGTGGCAGTCAGTGGTGATACTTTCACTTATTCTTGCACTTAGATTTAACATAAAAGTGTCCTAGGCTGCCTCATCGATGTGCTTAGAACAGGGATGGAAAATGAGATTTTGTGTCAGTATCAAAAAATATTTCAGAGGGTACTTTTTTGGATCTCAAAGTACTAAAATATTTTTTTTGCTAAATGATGGCAATTTCTTAACTACATTTACATTTAATTTTTTTTAAACAATCCATAACAGAAGTAGAAAGGCATTATATGTTAATATGATGAATCCTTGTCCGTCCCTCAATGTTCACCATTTACATCTCAAATATTAGCCAGATATTGTACTATGTAAATATCTTAAATTTAAAGCTGTCATGATATAATTTATTATATTTTAATAAATCCGGCATTAATTAAAACCAGGCCACATTTCGCCCTATAAAAGGACGAATTTAGAATTTCAACTAAATGCTAATAATTGAGCTACAAGTATTAGTATCGACTGTTCATTGTCAATAAATCGATTAAATATGTGTTATTGAATTAACATCCGTCGTGAGATTAATATTCATATAATGTCAATCAAGATAAAAATATGTACATCTTTTTAAGCCGTTTATAATTTTACTAGCATACCCTGGGTGCTTCGCTACCCTAACTTATATTAAATACATACAAAATTTTGTTTACTTTTATAGAAAATTAAAATTGATTAAACATTTTTTTAATGTTTCAGTTTTATACGTTCAATATCCCGTGATTAAATTCGCATTCAGTAAGAAGCTTGTATTTTTAGTTTCATTCATTTAGCTTCCACATTATAGAAAATTTCGAAAGTACTATTTGAAAAAAAGTACAATAAAATACCTCTAATAGATTATCATTTAATCAAAAATTGTATGTTTCTGTGTTCAATATTATATATAATTCAAAATATTTATATATATAATTTATTTATATATAATTTTAATGAATGAAAAAGTACCAAAAGTCACTTTCAGTAGATTCTCATTCACTAAGGTCCCTACATTTTAAATTGAATTTTCAATATCTATGTTCAATATCGTAAAAATATCAAAAAGTACCATCGGAAAAACGAAAAAGTACAAAAATCTCTCAATGTGTTCCGGTTAACAATTATAAAGAATCTAAAAGGTACCATTTGAAGAATAGAAAAGTACCAAATAGTTCCCTCTATTATTCAATCAAAACCGTGTGTGTTAAAATTAATGTTCCTTGGTTGAATATTTTATAAAATTAAAAAAGTACCATTTATGAGATAAAAAGTACTAAAAAGTTCTCTCTTAAAGAATCTTATTCAATGAGGACCGTGTATGTTTAATAATCATGTGTTTTGAATTTATATTAAAAAACATACAAAGAGTATCATTTGAAGAAAGAAAAAGTACCAAAAGTGGAATAAATTTTACCTAAGTGGAAAGTACTAATAAAGAATACAACTTTTCCCCTTTATTCATTTGCATTTAAAATTTTTCTTGTATCACTAATATTGTGTAAGATAATTAAGAAAACCTGTTTTACCCGTTTTTTCCCCTTTTTACCCGTAAATGTACAAATTTCTAAAAATCCCTCCTTAATGGATCTACATAACCAAAAACACATCTACTGTCAAAATTTCATGATTCTAGGTTCAGCCGTTTGGGCTGTGCGATGAATCAGTCAGTCAGTCCCGCTACTCTTTTATATAAATAGATTATTATTTTTTTTAGAAAAAACGGCTTTTAGTTGATGCATTTTTGAGAATTTTATATAACAATGTGCTAAAAGACTCTTGGAATTTAAAATTTGAAATTTTAAATATACTTTAACCTGTTATTTTTTTTTATCGAAACGATATATTAAAGGTTTTCATACAAAAATTCTTTATCTATCTGTCTGGCCCTGAGAGTATCAAATAAGACTCGGGAGTACAACGGTACTTTTGAACATCAAATAGTATCAAAAAAAGTACCATCGTACCAATTTTGCCATGCCTGGCTTAGAATGTAAGCCACAATATCATTAAGACAAATTAAAATTTCACTTACATAATGTGTGGAGTTCTAAGCGAAGTTAATGAGACGCCTATAAACGCTTGCAAATAAAAATGCAATGTATGTATGTAGATTACAATCCTATTTGCATTTGTAAGTTAAAGTACCATGTCTTCCGATTTTGTTATAGTAAAAATATATATTTTTTTATATTTTTTTTTTTTTAAATTATTCAAGTTTATTTAAAAATTATCATTAATTTTCTTTTGAAGCTTTCGGCCATCTTCCTTTACAGATCCTGTAAACAATCAAGAGGAAATTGTCAGTATTAAATCTAGAATATATGAAGTAAATTTACCCCAATTTTTAAATCCGTTTCTGCCATTTAGATCACCACAATTATTTTAAATTTTTACAATAAAATAACATTTTTAACAAAACACAACTTCACTTTTAACTGAAACAAAAATATTCTTCTTTTCATGTAGTATACAAAAGAGAAATAAAACGGTACTTTAGTTCTGTTTTTTTTTTTTTTTTTTTTTTTAAAGACATAAAAACAAAAAACAACATAAAAAGGCAGCTAACTCTCTGCTTAAATCGTAATCTATGTTATAATTAAAGTGCATGATATGTTAGATTACGTATACATTGCACTCTAAGTACTTAGATTGCTTGCTTAGAACGTCAAACTGATGTCATCGAATATTATATAAGTACTTTGTTTCATTTACCGCTGGGTTCTTCAGTTTCGCCTATATGTACATATGTATACTACTATATGGTTTCTATTTCATAATTGTGAAGTTTTTTGTGTTCATTACAAGTATTTTGTGTTTTTGACTGCACTCTTATAAAGTGGTATATCCACTTTCCAAACAATGGGTTTAGGAATTACTATGTATATGTGATCTTTAAACTGTTTAATAAAAAGGATAATTAGAAATTTGTTTTTGAAAGTGGTATAGTTCCATTCAAGTTTGAAAAATGCAATATATTTACAATACCTACTAAAGTTATATGTATTTTTTATCACGAGTCAAAACCAAGATTGAATCGTCACAAAACTCAATTTCTATCGAGAGCTAATTAAAATTGATGTCGAAAACGATAATAGGGGCGAATAATTCATAATTGAATACAAAGTAATAAAGGACTTCTAAAGAATTTGTAAAAAATTAAGATAAATTTAAAAAATGCATATTATTTTTAAAAAGCACCGTGAGAAATTGCAAAAGGCACTATAAGTACCCGGTTTATTTGTCCGGGTATTTTTAAAAGTCTCCTGTTAGTGCTGATCTACACAAGAAAACTTTTTTTGGGAAACTTTTGATTTTGTGTGTGAGAGAATGAGAAAGAAAGTTACGAAGTTTCTCGTACTCAAAAACTTGTTATTCTTCTCATTCGTACAAAAACAAATCAATGCAATTAACACATAGTAGTTGAAAGAAATGTTTTTATGTGTAGACAAACATTTTCCATGAAAAGGAGCGCACAACATGCCTGATAGTGGCCTAGGTGTATTTCTTTGGATTTGATGTAGATCATTTACCGGCGTATAGAGAGGCAGATAAAAAAATCACCACTACACTCACACTGTTGGCATTTTTTCAATGAAATTGCACTGAAAAAAATATTTGGTCATTTTTAATTTTGAAGATTAAATTGCATTACTGTAAAATGCTAATATTTATTAACAAAATGTAATCAATGTACATAAGAATAATAATTTCATCAGATAGAAACAACATTTCAAATTAAAATGTCCAAAAAAATATTAAATAAGAATGATCTTATTAACTTTCATTGTTATGCATTCTAGAAAATTATTTAGGGTGTATGTTGTTTTTGTAAATTATGATCTTGTTTTTGCAAGTTGTTTTTGTTTTTTTAAGTTGTTTTTGCAATTTCTTTAACAAAGCGACATCAGCCTGCTTTGTTGAATGCTGTCAAGCAACTAAATAAAATATTTGTATTTTTGATGCTCTTGTTTAGAAGTTCGTCTGCGATCGTGTTGTGTACATGTAATTTTCCGAAAATCTTCGTTGTCAGAACAATACTAGCGCCGACGTCTGATGTAGATACATCCTCCTATCAACTTAACCAAACGCAACTTTAAAAGAGAATTAAGATGGAAGTACACAATATGAGTTGAGGCGGCAACGTGTTCCACGCTTTTCAAACTTTTCGCGCTTATACTGCAAGTTACACACCATGCGTCATTTCGATCTTTTAATGATTTTAAGATTATTAATGTTTATTTTTTTAATATTTTTCTTTCATAGTGGTGAAATTCATTTCATTTTAGTTTATTCTTATTGCCAAAGCGCCAAAACAACACTGTGTAACTTGTTAAATGAAAATCAACTACATATTTCAACTTTTTTGACAGAAACCTATAACGCGTTACCGCGTACAACGCGTGTTGTGCACTTCCACATTTAAGAAAAAGTTTCTCAACTAAAATTTCCTTGTGTAGACCAACATTTATACGAAGCTAAAATGCACCAAAAAATACACGAAAAGCACCGAAATGGCAACATTGGGTGTAAAGCATTATAAAAATATGAAGGTAATGTCATATCTCTCTCAAAAAACTTATCGAAGTTTGCTGGTATTTTTTGAAAAGTCGTTAGTAAGTTGGAAAAAGGGTAAAAAAGTTTATAAGAAATTTGTGTTGTGATTGTAGAAATTATGTTAATAAGTAATTATTATATAGGTTATCATTTCAACTGATTTTGAAGCAATAATTGTGTCCTTAGGTTTAGTTGAAGAAGGTTTATAAGCCATAAAAAGGTGTGGTTGTTGTCACTCGGAGGCCATATGGTCCATTATGATTCCCTTAAAAGAGACTGAAGATTCAAAGACAGAGAAACCAGAACATTAAAAGAAAACAAGAAAGAAATAAAATAGGTACAAGGGAAGGATAAATTGAAACTGGTCCATTCTCAAGGGGTTTTAACGCAGAAGATTTGCTGAGTCAATTCCCTAAAGAAAGAAATGTGATGTAATCCTAATCTATAAATCCCAATCGAATGATAAAAGCTAATATACTGCGGGGATAATATTGCGCAATTATCACATTTAAACTTATTTTTTTATAATTTTTTATTTAAATAATTTTTTATTTTTTAATTTCGTTTGACATTGTTTTAAAATGTTTGCAAATATTGTAATTGCACAGAATTTGAACAGGGGTTTCATAAAAAAAGTCGAATAAACTTGCCCACTTGCACAAATGGGAAACATAAGCGTTTAAATAACTTACTATTTTTACAAAAATTTCCTACCAAATCACAGGATAAATAACTAGTGAATTGAATGTTTAGATCCAGTGTATAAAGAGCTCTATGTAAAGACGTTTATTAAATTAAGAAAAATATCAATGAGTCTAATATTTGTTTCTCTGAATGTAGGTTTCAAAGTTGTTCATGCAAAATTTTAGGACTCCAGTTGTACTAGTTTCCGAGATATACGACTTATTTAGTAAGTGGGCGTGACATCTCGCCCACTTGCAATTTCGAAATAAAAAATGGTCTATTTTTTCCTCCAGACATACAGAACATACTGTGAAAATTCCAATTTACTGATTCCAATTTCGCAATGTTTCCATGAATATTACAAAAATGTAAAATAAAATTGGAAATCGAGAAATTGCTAAAGGAGCATGAGAAAACATGTCGAAACGAAATTGTCTCTTAAGGTTTTTGGGTAATTGTACATTACATTGAGTAAGCTAATAGTCATATTATCATAGCAATGAAAGAGATGACTGTTGTTGCAGGTGTTTGGCAAATTTCAAAAAAAGGTTCTTGTTGTACTTGGAACCACCTTTCAGAAAAAATTATTTATTTTTGTCGCATAGGTATGTCCATATTGTCATTTATTTTATTAGTTACCCAATGCGCTTTATCCGTTTCTTCATCAGCATCCCATTTTCTTGTCAGAAAAGGATATTTCTGAGATATAATTTCTCCATCAAAGAACGTTGTTAATGTAGGAAATTCAAAAGTTAAACCGCTAATTTTTAAATAACCACATAAAAAGGAATTATCCACGTCGATATGCTAAAATTAAAAACGTATACATATATATTATGAATAAGTACAGCTTATAAAATAAATATAATATTAACCGTTTATTTTAAAAGTGGAGTTACCAAAAGTTACTTACGTACATACTATTAAATATGATTTTTTTTTTAATAAAAAAATAAAAAGATTTTTCCGCTAGATAACTATTTAAAAGAAATGTTTATTATAAAATTGGTACGAGTTCATTTTTGCATGAAAGAAATTTTAAGAAAAAATTATAAAATAATTTTATTTAAAAAATAATTTACACTAGCTAGAGCACTCGTTTTTAAAAATTTCCGAAATTTCGAATTTTCTGAAAATACTTTAAATTTATAAAAATTATTTTTAAAATGTTTATCTTCAAAATTTAAAAATGTAAGAACTTGGCCTTGAATGAAATATAAATTATATTTAAAATGAAATCTCATGATATATAGACTACTAGCTATACCGAATGTGCTTTGTTACTCTAAAATCAATATAAATAAGAAAACCACTTTAAGATTTTTTAATATTCTAGCTCTAACAGTTTCCCAGATATATGAATTTTGTATTTGATTCATATGGGAGGTGCCAAAATTCCTATAAAAGTCCACCCATTTTTTCCTAAATTATTACCCAAATGTTTATATGGATGTCAAGCTTGTTCGTGCAAAATTTAGAATTTTAGTTCGGATAGTTTCTCGGATAAACGATTTTGTTATTTAATTTATAAGGGAAGTACGAATGCGCCCTAATGATAGTCCACCATTTTTCTCCCAAATATTCACATGGATGTTAAAGTTCTTCGTACAAAAATTAAATATTCTAGCTGCAATAGTTTTCTAGATAAACGAATTTTTGTATTTAATTCATATGGGAAGTCCCACGCCCTTAAAATCAACTCCGCCAATTTATTACCCAAATGTCAAAGTTGTTCGTGCAAAATTTTGAGAATTTTTGCTCTAATAGTTTATCAGATAAACGAATTATTGTATTTAATTCATATGGAAGGTGCCAAGCCCCCATTATGAAATTCCGCCTATTTTTCTCAGATAGTTTATCAGATAAACAAATTATTGTATTTAATTCATATGGAAGGTGAAAAGCCTCTTTTTGGAAGTTCGCTTATTTTTCTCCCAAATATTGAAACGGTTGTTAAAGGTCTTTGTGTAAAATTTTAAGATTCTAACTCCAATAGTTTCCCAGATAAACGAATTTTAGTATTAAATTGCTATGGATGGTGCAACGCCCCGAAAACCGAACGAAAATAATATCAAGTGCTTAAGAAAATCCGAGAAAACTTTTAAGTGGTTAAAATGTACTTACGTGCATTCAAAACAATTGTCCCTTTTAATTTTTTCCTTATTTTCTTTGTGCACAATAAACAAACAATTGATTGATTCCAGGTCAGTATTGCTCTTTGCTTAAGCAAATGAAATTTTACGAAATTTGTCGAAGCTATCTTCAGTAACCATACATATTATAAAGTACTGCTGAAAAATATAGCGCACCTTGTGTTGGTTTTTATTTTTATTTTATTATAAAAATAAGTTAGAAAAACATGATTGATGGCAAATATAAGAACGAAGTCCAAATTCGGTAAATGATGTGTATAAAATAACGTTATTAGGTCTTTTTATACAAAACTAACCATAAAAAATTGTTTCATAATTATATCGCGCTATTTGAAATAAGTTGAAACAATATTGAAAAATTATGCCCTTAATTGGTGAATAGTCCGAGGTTTTAATTAGGATTATATCTAGTGACATTGGAGATAAACTTCAAATGAGATTTTTAATATTTTTTCCAGGTAAACAACAATCTGACAACAAATTCCGTGTGGAGTTGTCAGTTCTCCCATCGGACGCGTCCCAGGTGGCGGATAGGGGGAGCTATCATCGGTGGTGCGATACATTGGAACTAATGGTCCCAACACCGCTGGTAGCTCGAGCTAAGGCAGACCTAACACGATACATTTGTTACAAATGGTCTATTGGGTCTGTCATAGTTAGATTGATACTGTTGCACGAGAGCCCATTCTCATACCTACGTTGATACGTTTTTGAAAAACGGTCTCGTAGAGATTGGAATGGTAAAGGAATAAGTAACATGACAATGATACATTTCGTGGCAAATGGTCACTTGTTGTGTTAGTATTCTCTCTCTTGTCTCATACTTCAATCCGCGGACCAAAACTGTCTTCCCCTCTCCCACGTTTTCCAATCCTATCTTATTCCTTTCCCTCCCCCTCTTCCTTATCCCCCACTTGTAAGATTAAGGTGGTTGGTAGCAGTGCCGATAATCTGAATGGCTAGTCAATGGTTAAAGAAGACTAGTCGCTAACAGCTCCCCTCCGATGCCAGAGTACGGATCGGTTGTAACTCTTAGCCTAGCCCACGTACGCCGTCACTGCGTGGGTCGTCCATCCCCTTACGTGCTCACTCGTGGGAACTTAATGCTTAATTCCTTAAATGAAAAACAAAATCAACAAAAACAACCCGCGGAAAACCAGCTGGGGAAACCCAAGCTGGTGGACTGCAAACAACCGGCTATTCAACCTTCTGGTGATAGCCCGGTTGAACGCAGCGAGGATGTCTCGCCCGTCGTGGCTAGCACCTCAACTGCTGCTTTAGCCTTCGCTGGTACGCCAGCAATCGCCCCTACTCCGGTCACTGCGGACCAAGCAGTGACCCCTGCGACTCCCGGACTGGTCGGACCGTCGAACTCGATGTCGGGTCCAACCACTGCTCCCTCTTCCGCCCTCACGGCTCTCGAAAACCCCCCTTGTCGCAAAGATCCCTCAAGGAAGGCTTTCGTACAAAGGCGTGCCGCCTTGCGATTGATTGATCGTCTTGGAACCAAGTCGGTCGATGCGCTCACGAACGACGAGAAATCGTCACTAGATTGGGCCAAGGCCCTCCTGGCTGAGCCGGAGTGTTCCAACCCTCAATCGAACCCAGATGTAGCGGACCAAGCTTCATCTGCAGGACCTAAACGGCAGCGTTCGGAGGAAGAACATCTTCTCCAGCAAACCTCACAGCCTAAGACTAAACGTCTTAAGCAAACAGAGACTCGGATTGTCAACAGACCCTACAGTGAAGTCGCTAAGAACCCGCTGGTTAGGGCCATTGTTGACAAGAGCGTTAGTGACGGTGCCATCTCCCAGGACAAATGGGTGATAATCCGTCAAAAGATGTTGGAGGTCTATTGGAAAATCCTACAGGATAATCCAGGTCCATCTCCTCAAAACGATGATGTAGGCTGGTATCAGGGCCACATCAAACTACTAGCGTGTACCAACGAACGCTCAGCACACCTGCTCAAACTAGCGGTTACCTCCCTTGGGGAAGTGTGGCCCGGCGCGAAGCTCGATGTGATCCCGGTCAACGAGATACCTCGTAGACCTAGATCAATCGCTGTTATTCCGGCGGAGCCCCATAACCCTGAGGCTATTCTGGCGTACCTTCAGAGCGGAAACCCAGACCTACCAACCCAAAATTGGAAGGTAGTCAAAGTTTCTGACCCTGAAGGTGCATACAGGAAGGAAGGTCGTGGTCCTGAACAAGGAATCGTTGCCGTTACTCCGACAGAGGCAAGGCAAAGTGTACTACGGATTTGATAGTATAAAGCTGCGCGTCTATCGGGGTGACGACAAACTCGACCCCAAACCCCCGCAGAGCACGGACGGAGGAAATCAAGATGACCCCGCCGACACTGACGCTCAATGATATATCGCGAGATTTAGAAATTTTGGATCTATTAAGGAAATATTCTTATATAACATTGATCAAATTGGTATCAAATGTTTATAAATTATATTATGATTGATAGATTAACGATTTATTTCTTCAGAATTTTAAATCGCTGCATAAAATGGTTGTAAAATGCTAAAAAAAATAATTTGGTAAAAAACCCAAAATGTTTGCTATATGTACTTAGGCAACTCAATACCAACTGGAACCAAATGGGTCCTTAAATATAGGGTATTTAATCATCCCGAGGTGCAATATTCATAAATATTTCATATAAGAATATTTTATTGCCAATATGATTATAAATGTGCTACAGTTTTGAATCAATAACGCGGTGTGACAAAATAACAAAAAATCAATACACTAATCGCGAGACCTAGTGAAGTTAGTAGGTCTAGCAGAGTAGATTACAGTACCATTTTTAGAATCTTCAATATACCCTAAAAATCGGAAGATATTGGATAAAAACGCTTTTTGTTGACTAGACAGACCAGAAAAAATATATCTCAAAAATTTCTTAACCGATTTAGTATTTTCCAGCTGTTTTGGAAAGAGTTTCCTTTGTACTTTTCAAAAAGTACACACACTTTTATATTTCTTAAGGAAATGTGTAAAATATTTAGATCTAAATACAAATTTTTATATTTTTTTTCAATTGTTTTACGATTCACCATAATTTTGACCCACATTTTATTAGGAAACTTATTTTTTTAAATATTTTTTTATTTTAGCCCATATTTCTATGAATAAAATAAGGTATGAAACCTTGAAATCAGATAAAAACTGACAGAAATATAATTTTTTTTTCGTAAAAACAAATATTTACCAAATCTCTCTTTCCTGAAGTAAAATATCAACTTAAGATATGCAACACAAATATAAGCTTTATTATTCAAATTGATAATTTACTTTAAAAATGAGAGATTTGGTAAATTTTTGATTTTACGAAAAAAATTCTATTTCTGTCAGTTTTTATCTGGTTTCAACGTTTCATATCTTATTTTATTCATAGGGATATGGGCTAAAATAAAAAAATATTTAAAAAATATTTAAAAGAACGACTATCACATATTATAGTTTTTATCACCCAAGTGATATCGCATCAATATCGTTTGGTTTATAAAACAAGTGGACTCATACCACTTTCAAAATAAACGGTTCATGTTTGTTGATACAAATCATAGACTACTCATAGACTGGAATCAGCTGATTTTAGTAATATGGCGGAGGCAAACAAAAAAAATTTTACGAAAAATCAACAAAAGAAAATGTAAAATGAACCACGGTAGATTTAAAAGAGGGACAAATATATAAATATATATTTCCATCTCTCTTCACCTTACACTTAATTTTTTTCAAATATAAAAAACAAATTGCATTACAGTCAAACCCATTTATAACTTCTTTTGCTCTTTACGAACTCATCTTAATTACCGGAATTTTGATAACTATTTTGATACAAAAACATATTTTATAAAGAATTCTTGGTTAAAACGAATTACTATTTAGTCCCATGAATAATATTTTATGCATTTATCCTTTTTTATATCGAACTTCAAAACATATGCGTTGAAATCAAATAAACGGGTTTTACTGTACATGCAAGTCAAAAAATTTGTTTGTGGTGTTGATAGTGTATTGAAAAGTGTTTTATAATGAAAGAACATTAAGGAATAATTAAAAAACAAATCCAGTACACTTTTAATTAGAATCTAAGCAAATATTTAATAAAATAATTGTTTTCTTTTTAATACCTTATTTTTTTGCAATTCTTCTTCACATACAATTTCTTCGATGTTTACATTTTTTGCTATTTTTTTTCAAACGAGCGATGAAAACAATCATACAGCTCATCTCACACACTCATCGATTTTTTAATACATTTTATTTTTTCTTTTGCTCTAAAATTTTACCTAATGGCGAAACTCAAAAATGGTAAAAAAAATCTAAACAAAACCATACGGTTCGAATTTACTTTTTTGACAGCTGTCAATGGTTTCTTATCTGGTTATCTGTGATACAAATGTAAATCTAATACTTAGTACCTGCAAAATTACTTCAACATCATAGGAATTTCCCTGTGACTTTTGAAACCCTTGAAATTTAGATCCGTTGTATAATGTATGTGTTGCCAAACCATCTTGTTTAAAATTTGACAAAAAAGGAGGATTTGGATCCTGCCTTATTTGTCGTATTGAAGAATTCTGTGATGAAATCTTGGAGAAGTAAAATTAACACAATCACGAAAATATAGATTAGCGTAAAGATGACAAACAATTCGAACCAAGGCGAATTCAAATAAGGTGGTGGCAGTTCTGCAACAACAACATTTTACAAGTATTTTGTTTTTGCATTTGGTTTACGTAGATGTCAAAAACCATAAGTACGGCGAAATCATTTCATGAAAAATTTTTATATTTTATTAAAAATAAAGATATTAAAATTTGTGAAGAAAATATATTCTGAATTGAATAATGTTTCTTTCAAACGAGAAAATCTATTCCGGCAGATTAATTTGCAAAATTTAAGTGAGTGCCTGAAGTTAAATAAAACTTAATTTTTTGTGAAAAATAAACAATAAAAAGTACATATTCATGAAAATATTATATTACTAATGAATGAATATTTGTTGCGAATGGATAATTCTACTCCGGCGGAGTAATTTTCAATATTTGGGCATAATGTAGCAGCCGCCGGTCGGGTAAATACTTCATATGGGTTTTGTTATATAAAGCGTTCCGGAACAGACTTTTTTAGTTAATCTCTTTATCTACATAGTGTATATATAAAACAATATTGTTTAATTTGTTAACATTTAATAGATTTCAAAATTAAGCCATATGTAAAAGTAAGCTGCCGCTGTTCGGCTAAATTCTTCATATGTGTTTCTTTATATAAAGTGTTCCGGAAGAGATTTTTTTTAGTTAATCACGTTATCTACACAATGTTAATATAAAATATAAAACAATATTGTTTAATATGTTAACATTTAATAGAAAAAAATATTTTTCCTAAATAACATATTTGTATACATACCAATTATGCCATTATTTAAATAAAATGATATTTGTTTACGAGATGCTTGGTATTTTCAGATTTTTTACATAAATAATTCAAAATATTAAGGAAGTTTTTCTCCGTTTAACGGAAATTTTTAAATATAAAAATGTAAACAATAACAAACTTTGACAGCTACGTAAACCAGGCGAATTAAGAAAAAAAATTATCAGCTGATTGAATAACACCACCTTATCTGAATTCGCCTTGATTCGAACTGTTAATGACATTTTAACCAAGGTAAATTCACATAAGGTGGTTGCTAAGGCGAATAGACTATAAGGTGAAGTCATTTCATTTTGCGGCGAATTTATGAAATTGTTTAGACAACACTGTCAAAACGACGCTATAACGCTAATAAATGCTATATGCACCTGATAATTTTTTATTATGATAACAATTTGACGTTTAGCGTAATAAATATTTGTCTAATATAGACACGGGTAAGGTAATGTCATTTCATTTTGCGGCGAATTCATTAAATTGTTTATATATGGAGTTTGAAAGCGTCGGTTTTGGGAGAGAATTTTTCTATATCTATAGTTTGACAGCGTCGTTCAAAGTTTCCATACACAAAAAAAAACAATCAGCTGTTGATGGACTTCACCTTATTAGTTTCGCAATGGTGGTGGCAGTTCGGCAACAATAACATTTTCCATTTTTTTTGTCAAGATAGTGCCGGTTCACAGTGGAAAACTTTTTTGGGGAAACTATTGATTTTTGTGTGTGAGAGAAAGAAATAACAACAATCTCTTTCTCTCACCTACGAAATCAAAAGTTTCCCAAATTCGGTAACGATATTTTAAGGTGGAAGTACACAAAAAACAATCAGCTGTTGAAATGACTTATTAGTTTCGCCAATGGTAGTGGTAGTTCGGCAACAATTACATTTTCCATGTATTTTGTCAAGATAGTGTCGGTTAACACTGGAAACTATTGATTTTTGTGTGTGAGAGAAAGAGAAGGAAATATCAACCATTTCTTTCTCTCACATACAAAATCAAAAGTTTCCCAAATTCGGTAACGATATTTTAAGGTGGAAGTACACAACACGCGTTGTATGCGGCATCTAATTTGAAGCTTCAGCGACTAAAAAATATTTTCGAAGAAGCATGACCTAAAAGGAATGCTTGCATCCTGCTGTCTTTATATATGACAAGACGAGAGTGACAAGATCAGTAGCAACTAAAGAAAATTGTCTCGATCTATAAAAATCAACCGAAGCACGATAGTGAGGCCCAACGACATCCTTCGACAAACCTCCATTCTTGTTAAAAGATGACTCAATAATGATTTTGATCTTATTTGTGGGCTCACATTCTCCGAGAGGAGGAATTGAATCAAAAATATTCTTAAATTTGCGATATACAAAAGAGTAACCAAGGTATATTAATTATAAGGTAGTGTTAACGGAGCAGCTGATTATTTTTTGCTAATACACTTTTGATTTTTTTTATATGTAGTTTGACAGTGTGCTGGCACTTTGAAGTGTAGGCATGCTGTCAAACTCCATATATGAAAAATAAAATGAATTCGCTCCGTATATCTGAATTCGCCGACGACACTACCATATAATTAATATATCTTGAGAGTAACTATTTACAGTATGAGAGGGTGCCGACAAAGTATATTAATAAAGTAGCGACATCTCTTGTTGTACAACAACATCTACAACAACCACATATATTTTGTTTTTGGAATAATTTAAGATTGTGTCAAAATAAAATTTCCTTGAACAACAATGTGAACAAAACATAAATAAAAAATATTACTTTTAAGTTAAAAATATTAACAATTTAATTATATTATTATATATTATACAATTTATTACACTTTTAAACTACTTTAAAACCACTTTTAATTCACTTTTTCAACTTTTCACAAATTTTAACAAATAGCAAAACACAATTTAAAAATGGCGACGTAAACAATGTTAACAATTTTCAAAACAAACTTTGACAACTTGCTTCATTTATCTAGTTTAAAAAAAATAGTCAGCTGTTCAAGTGATGCTACTTTATTAATATACTTTGGGTGCCGACTTAATTAATTTCATTATAACACGCAACCAGGGTGCACTTATAAGGTGGAGTCAATTCTACAAAAACAACAAAAGTAGATACTTCTGTCAAAAAATTTACATGTTGCCCCCGTGTTATTTTTAATTTACCTTACAAAAAGACAATCCCACATGCTCAAAAATCTCTTCACGTAAAGTAAATATGTATTATAAGATAAAATTTATTAAAAATTATACATGAGTTGAAAAATAAGGGTAAGCCCCCTTATTCACAAACAAAATTTTTATTTTATAAACGGTATTTTGTATGGAAATTTTGTTTTATAAACCTTTAATAACATAAAAATATTGTTTGTGTACAAGGAGGTTAGAATATTATTTATTATTTACTTATTAAAAAAGTAAATAAATTATCAATTAAAATAACAAAAAATTAATATTAGATTACAAAATTGTAAGTATGTAGTAGCAAAAATACAAATTATATACATATTATTTTTTATCAGTCAATATTAGGAACTTATAATACCGTGTAGGTCTCTACTATTGTCGTATAAGAAATATATAACGATCTTTATAGAAATGTGACCAAACCACTACCATGGAAAGTTGTTAAAAATTAAGATATCTATGATAAAATCAAGTTTTAATAATTTTATTTACAATTGTGGGATGTTTGTACTCTCAATTGATTAGTAAAAATTTCCCTATAATTGATAAAATAGATGCATATTTAGGACAAATAGTTTGTGCAATTTTTGAGTATTTCGCATAAATTTTTTTTAAATTTTATTAAAATGAATATAAAATTTATTTATTAATTTTTTGTATGTACATATTTTTTCGGTTGTGGCAATTCTAAATGGTGTACTTGGACAGTTATATCAACCTCAAATAAAAAAAATGAGTGATCAGCTGTTGAATTGACTTCACCTTATGAGTGCACCCTGCACGCAACTTTTAGCAGCTCCTTAGAGGCGTGATAGATTATCTGAGGTGAGGTGGTAGCACAGGGTATACAGAGGCGTCACGCTGTATTTTATATACCTCTTCTCACCAAACAATTTCAAAATCAAACAAAAGCTGATTTTAGACTTTTTTAAATGTCAAAAGTGACACCTCTGTATACTTTGTGGTGGTAGTTCATTAGCCAAAACGTAAACAGCCTGAATCAAAGTATATTAATAAAGTAGCGACATCTCTTGTTGTACAACAACATCTACAACAACCACATGTATTTTGTTTTTGGAATAATTTAAGATTGTGTCAAAATAAAATTTCCTTTAACAACAATGCGAACAAAACATAAATAAAAAATTTTACTTTTAAGTTGAAAATATTATGGATTTAATTATATTATTATATATTATACAATATATAACACTTTTAAACTACTTTAAAACCACTTTTAATTCACTTTTTCAACTTTTCACAAATTTTAACAAATAGCAAAACACAATTTAAAAATGGCGACGTAAACAATGTTAACAATTTTCAAAACAAACTTTGACAACTTGCTTCATTTAACTAGTTTAAAAAAAATAGTCAGCTGTTCAAGTGATGCTACTTTATTAATTTACTTTGGCCTGAATAGGAGTAGAACAGTGTTGCGCGTTCATATTGTTCAAATTACGATTTTCGGCAATTGACACGTACACTACCCGATCGTAAACAAAACTCATAGCAAGAGCGTAAAAATACAAAAAATGATCTTCAGTTGCTTAACAGCATTCAACAATGTAGGTTGATGTCGCTTTGTTTCAAAAATTGCAAAAACAATTTGTAAAAACAACAACACAATTTGTAAACAAGAGAATTACTTGAAAAAAACTCGTACACTACAAAACAATTTTACTAATGCATAAGAATGAAAACACATAAAAACAGTATTTTTAATACTTTTTTTACACATTTTAAATAAAAAACTTTATCTTTGTGAAGAAATATATATTTTTCTTTTCTTTGAATATGTTTTATCTGTAAAATTTACTATTTTCCTTGTTATGAAATTTGATCATAACAAGCGTAATTAGGCAATATTTTTTCTAAGTGTTTTTTTAGTATTTTCTCACCACTACAATAACAGTTTCTTCGCGTCTCTCTTTCTGCGCTTGGTCAGGTATCATTTTGAAAAGTCTGAATTTTCCTATTCA